CCTCCCACCTCTGGAGTCTTTGATTCAATTCCTGAACTTGGCATCAGGTGAGTAGATTTTGTTAGGTTTTTCCCTCATCCAGGTTCTCTGGTTTTCCTCTCTCCACAAAAGCTAACATGCTGCTCAAAGGTTGCTTCAGGGYGTAGTAGCTTTGTACCATAACGTGATGGCAGCCATGACAGCAGACACGAAGAATCAAATCTGGTCTAATCTGATTTACATGAAAAATAATTCAATTTCCCAGGGAGAAAAGACTACTGTTGTGCCTCATGTCATGGCTGCCGTCATGTGATGGTGCAAAGCATCTATTGATATAATTTAAACATTGYGGTGTGGTTGTTAAAATGTCTATGTTTTCATTTACACCTACTTGCAAGAAGGTTGTCACACAAGAATAGAACATTTGTAATTTAGTGAGAAAGGAATTCATTAAAATACRAAAGAAAAAGTTCAGCTTCAGTGATCTTCTTTTGTTTTTTAATWTARTTCCTATCCTACTAAATAACTGTTCTATTTTYGTATGACAACGTTCTYGCAAGTAGGTGTAAACTGGCATAAAGGTATCTCTGCTGAAGAACCCTAATTCTCAGTACTTCTATTTTCTGACAAAAAAGTGACAGCGCTATTGTAATTTATTATTTAAGAAATATAAATTTCCACGTATCTAGTACTTATTCTGTATTTTCTCTTTTTCATTCTGCTGTACATTGTAATAAATCACAAATAATAGTATCAGAATATTGTATTGTTAATTTTAGCCCCTCTGTGGTTTCTGACATCAATCAAAATATAGCTACTGTAAGTAGAACACGTAGTAAACTGAAATACTTGCAATAATAGACCCCTCGCATGTGATGTAAAGCAGCTCAATTTGGACGTAGTTAATAGAGGGGAATGATTAGGAAACTCTATTGTTATAGGCTATTGTTCACTTTTTTTTTTAAGCATGACCGTGCGCAATCCTTTGTTTTACCRTTGTTGGTAATGGCTGAGTGAAGAGACCAAAATCAAAATACTCAAAGATTTATAAGAGATATTTGAACACTCCTTACAACAATTGTCCCATAGACAAAGTTTATGTTTACTCATTTTGCAATTTCGGATGAGCATAAATCAAACATATTGCACGGTCAATCATGGTCAACCTCACAAGCGAACAAAGACCTATAACAATAGGTTTCCTAACCATTCCCCCTCTATTAACTATGATTTGGAGGACAAAACACAAGAATTTCAATCTCCTGAGAATTGGGAACCTATTGTTATGTCCTCCAAATTGAGCTGCATTCCAACGTGCTGCAAGATATAATGGATTTGAAATGTAAGGTTAGTAAATTCTAACCGAGGGTAGGGAAAATGTGATAAGCCCAGTGCCACATAGCTATAGACCGCTTCAGCTTTCTATGCAAATTGCCCATTTCAGATCACAATRTGACGTTTYATGACATTCCCTTGAGAATTGTTCTTTTATGACAAACATGTTTAAATATTTACACAAGAAAGAATCAACTCCCAAGAGTGGCATCGCATGGTCTGAAATGTGCACAACAAACAATGAAGCTAAAGAGGTCTACTCCAGCATCCCTTGAGAMTTGAACACACAGAAACAAGACTAAAGTTATGTAAAATTTTTGTATTYGTAATGACAATCCTCATTGGAAAGCAATTCCATTCCATCAGCATAAATTTTCTAACAATAATATTCCTATGTATTTACATTTATGGCTGTGTTCAAACCAAACCTATTCATCCAGGATTTACATAGTGATCAGTTCTCTCGGGAACAGTTGGCTGAGAATTTAATTTTTTCAGTGCAATAGAATAAAAATATGGYCTGCTTACACAAAGGTAGGGTCAATCTGCTATAATACCAGTACTAAAGGGATATTTCTATATCTWTAGTTTTTGGGGTCTGTTGTAGGGAGAAACCAAGAGATTTTCGTTAGCAGGGGCACCCTTCATTCATGTAAACAAATTGCATCAGTATAAAAAAATTGAAACTGACAACTATCATTTCGTGACATGAAATCGAGGTCAAGGGGTCTATTGTTTATGTATAACTGTAGTTTGTTCCTCATAAAAATTTKACATTTTCTAAAGTTCTGATCAGAAATGAATCATCATGAATGATAAGTCTGACAATGAGAACATCAAGGCATATCTAAGCCTGAGAATTATTTCAGATWAAATTTGAGTTTTTTCAAAGTAAAAGAATCTAATTGGATGAAATGCAGCGTGGAAAGTTTACTGGCTGAAAGTCAGTAGATTGTGTAAGAGATAGGGACRGATAAACGTATGATACCTGGGGAATGACATGGCTTCCCAGGGACATAGCCAGGATTTTGCTATGGGGGGAGGGGGGACTACATAGGTGTTTAGGTTTCTACAGCGTGAGGATRGGGAAGGCGTGGGGTGCCYTTGGCTCCCCCCTGGCTATGCACCTGTCAAAATGTCAATCACATTTCAATCATTAATCTCAATCCATGATTTTGAATGTTATTTCATACTCTATCTTGTCCTTCCAACAAAACATCGTTATGTACAAGCCTTAACTGATATTGGCCAGAAATGAACTTATCAAAACATGGTAAAACTAACTTGCCATGAAATAGGATACCAACACTGCACTCTAGTCCTCCGAGTTCGACTTCGAAAAACGCAAATCAAAGTAAGAATTTGCAGTTTCCACCGATGAAAGATCCACCCTTGTCCTTGTAACTTTGATGGACGTAACCCAAAATGTAATTTTGGAAGCAAAAACATGAAAAATATCAATAAGAATAGAATAAGAATAGCAACTAATGTCCATTCATAAATCGACAAATTCCGTAAAAGCCTAATTCGAATCTAAAGAACAGTTTCTATTGTTGCTTGCAGTTTTCTTTATCCGCATGTCGATCTCGCTTCCTTTCAATGCTTTTCCGTCGATGAGGTTTGATCAAAGGAATGACTTTTGCTTTTTCTTCTGAACCTTGTTCCTCCTTTGCGTCGTCTTCGGAACCCTTTCGCTCTCGTTTGAACGTGGGGTCTATGTTTTCAACCACGTTATAGGACTTCGGTCGTTCTCTCTCGTAGTGAACAGGATGTGAACTCGCGACGGTGCGASTCCGAGATGGTCTGCTATTTCTTGTTTCTTCCAACGACTCATCATCTTCGAATCGTTCCCAAACATCCGCTCGCGATGAAGGCGAACCGGCGTGACCCGACGTTTGCGATCGACGGTCACAAGAACTTTGGCCRGACGAAGCATACGATAACCGCGATGAACCTTGGTTATTTTCGGGGAACTCGCGCCTTTCTCGTGGTGGGGAGGTCGAGGAACATATTGTATCCCGCGCGAGCCAAACAGGACCTTCTTTATCGTCATATCTATGGTGTTCCTTCTCAATATTCTCGTATCTCTTTCTGTGCTCGTTGGAATCCATTCTATAGTCTCCCGACGGGTGTCCATTCCGTGTAGGCGATGGTGCTCTAGTTTCCCTATACTCACTTCCACGATTTCTACTATATTCTTTCTCCAAGCGTCTGTCCTCCACGGGTACTGACCTCCTATGATCAACCGACGAGGGCCCTCTAGCTGAAATGCGTCCTTCTTCCCGCCTGTACCCTCTTCGTTCCCCCTTATCTGGATTGGTCGTACGTCTGTCTATAGGCGGAGATTGAGATGCAGTACTCCTTGAAGAACGGGTAGATGAATAAGTTGACCTTTCGGGGTCACCCTCGCGGAGGTTCTCGGGATCAAAGTCATGGTCAGGTAAAAGATCTGGCATTTGGGTGCGATGCACTGCTTCTTCGTATGAGGGAAGGCGACGTGGATCCTGTAAGAATAAGATACGTTTGAATCAGAAATCAATTACCAAAGCATCTAGGAAAAAAGAAACAATTACAATAGGTGTTGTAACAGGCTGATTATTATTATATGTATCGTTGCAATGCAAATCAACAAGACTTCTACCGCTTTTGTCAGTTGTTGCTGCTGCTGTTCTTGTTGTTGCTGCTGCTGTCAGTTGTCGCTGCTGCTGCTSTTGTTGTTGYTGCTGCTGTTATTGATGCTAATGATGTTGTTTACGCTGCTGCTGCTTATGTTGTCGCTGATGCTACTCTTGCTGTCGTTATTGCTGCCGTTATTGCTGCCGTTATTGCTGCTGTCGTTGTTGCAGTTGCTGCTTTTGCAGCTTTCTTGAACCTCACGCGCATATGATATATCCAAAATCAGCTTTGTCCATTATCTTCTCATATGCAACCCCCACCAATAAAAGTTACTCCCTATTTTACAAAAAAAACGACATACCTCAATTGACACAGAATGCCTATCCGATGGTACACTATTAGCACGTTGCATTTGCCTCTCTTTTTGCTCTCTTTTAAGTCGCTGATATTCTTTACGTTGAAGATGCCTGGCCAACTCCTGTAAAACGAGAAGTATTCTATATATTAATGGTCTGCAATCATTCCAAGGAGAGTAACCTAAAAGGCAAAACCATGGCGGCCATTTTGGTGGTATAACAAAGGAATAACCTCAAGGYATTGCGGCGATGAAGTAACTTGCAAACAATGAATACTTATAATTTTCTAGCTTACATGTTTTAATAAATTTTAATCGTATTTTCACTTACCCGATCCTGCTCTTCCATTGCAAGTCTTCGATCCTCAGCAGCCATTTTTTCTGCTTCGACAATCTAATAAATTGAAAAAAAAGATGGATGAACATAAAGAAATGCWTATTTGAAAAGAAAGTAATGAAGAAACGTCAACATTGGATGTTTTCTGATTTTATGGCTGTCCTTCGCGCCATTTGCGTTGGGTCTTTTCTACTGATAGTACATGTACTTTCCAATCGCGAAGCTTAAGTGTACAATTTGCTGTGCCGATAAGTTAGGAATTTTATAGGCGTTATTTTAACGTGCCTATGGAATGTCATGGAAACGCCTTTATTTGGGAAACACTGAACAATAACTCAAAAACTCGCAAAACAAAAACTTACCCGTCTTTCTTGGTCTTGTAGCATTTTTGCGTATTCTTCATCTTTCTTGACGCGCTGCATCCTCAGCGCCTTTTCTCGATCTTCTTCATTATCAAATAAATCTATAGCAGTTCCATCCGCCATTATAATTCTATCCGATTCCAATCTCCCTCCGCC